TTCTGCGGACCCAAATCTGGCAAGTTCCCTGACATTGAAAAGGAAGTCCTCGAACTCGTGAAGGACATGCGCAAGAACGGTTGTGCAGTGTCGTTAGGCATGATACGGATGCAGGCGCGCACAGTTTCCAGGTGGCTGGGAATAGCCACAAAGGACTTCCGCGCCAGTTCCGGGTGGACGACAAGCTTCACGCGGCGGAATGCACTGTCGCTGAGGCGGCGGACGTCATCCTAGGAGCCAGCGACTTTCATGTGCATACGAAGACAAGGTGATCAATTTCCACAAGTTCGTCACGAGGGTACGCCAGAAGAACGTCTTCCTGCTGTCACAGATAGGCAACGCGGACCAATTGCCGTTGACGTTCAACATGCCTCAAAGCACCACTCTGAACGAGAAAGGTGCTCGAAGCGTCCTTGTAAAAACGTGTGGTGCGGAGAAGCAGCGATGTACCGTGACGCTCGCAGTGACGACAGACGGGCGGAAGCTGCCGCCTATGTTATTCTGAAACGGAAAACAATTCCAAAGGGAAACTCTCCCAGTGGCATCCACATCTGCGCTCAAGTGAAAGGCTGGATGACGGCAGACCTCATGGTCGATTGGATCAAGACGGCTTGGGGGCGAAGAGCAGGAGCACTTCTGCTTCCTTCACTTCTTGTGCTGGACAGCTTTCGAGGCTATTTCGTTGACATTGTCCGTACCGAGCTGAGGGAGCGGCGCACGGAAATCACAGTGATCCCTGGGGGTCTAACTTCGCTGCTACAGCCTCTGGACGTGTCACTGAACAAACCGTTCAAGGACAACGTCCGAAGGCTGTACTACGCAGAGTGGATGGCGGCGAGCGACGAAGATTTCACGCCAAGTGGCAAAATCAGGAGACCGTCCGTGAAAGTCCTCTGATCATGAATTCTCGAAGCGTGGAGCACCATTTCCGACGAGGTGGTCGTCAAGAGCTTCAAAAAGACAGGCATTTACAGCGCGCTCGACGAAACGGAAGATGACCGCCTGTGGGACAGTGAAAACACTGCCAGTTCACAGGGAATCGTGCGGCGAAGACGCTGACGCCAGTGACGCTTTGGAGTCTGAGTGAGCGTTAGGAGGTCAGAGAGGTAAAAAATAAAAAGGCAGTGTGCCATGCATGACGCTCCTGTGTAATGGGTGCATTTTATTACAAAGGTAAGCCTTAATTTACTTTTATTTTTGGTTATGTGCATGATAGTTGTCGTAGGAATTCTGATTAGAGGGTTTTTGCATTTTCAGTGCTCAGAATACTTTTTTTACGGAAAATTTACCCAGCGTAATGATCGCATCCCGAAGTTGGAGTCAATTTTTTTGAAAAAAACAAAAAATGTGATCATTATGAGAGTATATACGGTATCTCTTTGGGCTCAGGGTATCTCATTGCGGCTCAACGCCGTGGCGTCGCGAGAACGCCCGGGGCGGTGAATGTTGATCACTCCGTAAGCTGCTATGTGCGGCGAGCGATAGGGCCACCTCACAGAGTGGATGTCTCCTCGCGGCTGCCTCTTCTGCGCCTAGGCTGGGTGCTGGGTGGATGCCGGTTGTTGCCGAGCTACTCATTAGCCCTAAGGCTCTGCGCAGCCGCCTGTCACACGGGGCACAACTAGGTAGATCGTGGCGTTTAAGGGGGGACGCGGTCTTAGAATGGTGAAAAATGGCCATAAAGTCGATTTTGAAAAAATGCTATATTTGAAATTTTTAGGCCTATAAGCACGTGTCCTCAAATTGTGAACGCTGAATTCGATCAGTAAATGAATTAAAATTGATTATGAAGTCGCCACGGGAGCCACAAAACAACCCACGGCAAGTCAAATTCGTTCAAACTTCCCGCGCGCGCCGCCGTCGAGGCAGTTGGTCGATTGCCGCCATCTTGGGCTTGTTTTGAAGCAGATTCCTTTGTGCGCATTTTGCCACCCTTCAAAATGGCGTCGCTTAAACGAAACGGCTGCGCTCGCCCTTTTCCCAGAGCCCCCTTTCGGACCGCTGATTGGCCGGATCGTGCGCGCACCAGGCGAGCCCCCTGTTCCTCGCTTCCCATTGGCTGATGCGGCCAAAGTTTGCCCGCGCTTTTTTTTGTGTATATTGTTCGTCGGCCGCCGGTTCCCGTTCGCGCATGTTGTTCGTCTCCTTCCCGCACGTGCCTGCTTGTGCAACGCGACCGACGCACCGACTTTCCGTCTTTTGCCGGCACGATTGGAGACGCTCGTCTAAAGAAGAAGACGTGCCAAGCGTACGGCAAGAAACGGAGGCGCCCGTGGAACGCCCGCCAGAAAAAAAGCACCCGACAGCGTGCAGCCGATTTTGCCCGATGCCGCCGAAGCGGCGCACTCCGACAGCGCGCAGCCGCGGCTGCTTGTGTCCGAAGCGGTGCACTCTCTTGTGCCTTGCAGCAGCACCTCATCGGACTGTGTCGTCGTCGGATCGTATCTTGCAGTTGTAGCAGCATCCTAGACTGCATTGACACGGCGTTTTATTCAGCGGACAAGTTTGCTGAGTGCGCGAGAAATGCAGCGGGCTTGAAGACATCAATCGCATCGCAGTGCATGACGGAACGTAAGTTCGAGTTACTAGATATTGATAGGGAGCACGGTGGCAAAGAAAACGGGACAGAATTTGTTATTGTTGATCTGGCGGCGATACGCTCGTTATTTGGACTTGTCGCGTGCCCAGAATGCGGTGAAAGAAGTGTCACTATTGCAAAGACCAAGAAAGAGTACGGGCTGTGTTCGAAGCTCATAGTCACGTGCGGCAGTTGCGACTTTCGCGAAGAGCGTTTTTCGTCCCCACGTATAGCCGACGAGACCAACGCCAAAATAAGTTAATATGCGTGCCATGAAGACCATCAACAGTATCGGCAAGGGGGCAACGGCTCCGTCAGACTTCTTCGCTGGGATGAATATTTCGCATCGAGGGCTTCACCACAAGAGTTACCAAAGCCACATGAATATAATGAAAGAAGCCTGCTGTGCGACTGCTGCCGAATGCGAAGCGGCTCGCGTTGCTCGCGTCAAGGAGCTCTATGCGGAGTTCGGCAACGCGCCCGGAAATGTCGACGTCATTTATGACGGCACCTGGCTTACGCGTGGACATAGCTCGCATATATATGTTGACTGCATTGTTGAGGTGTATAGTGGCCTCGTGATAAACCATATCGTGCTATCGAACTTTTGCCTGGCTTGCACCACAGGACCCAAGAAAGGAGAAGTAGGACATTCTGCCTGGCTCATTCAGCATGCCCCTCTGTGCCAGAAGAATGTTGATTGTAATGCTGGCCAGATAGATGGAAGTGGAGGCAGCACTACGCTTGTTTGAGCGGTCACTTGAAAAGCACAAGCTTCGTTATACGACAATGCTGTAGGACGGCGACAGCAGGACATTCCATGCACTCACAGAAAAAGAGGTGTACGGCTTCATAAAGGTGGCCAAAAAGGACTGCATAAATCATGTACACAAGCGTATGGGAGCTGCCTTACGTACCCTTGTAGAGAAAAAAAAAAGCTCAAGGTGGCTCACTTGGTGGAAAGGGCAGACTTTCAAAAGGCTTTCAAATTCTATGGTGCAGCACACCCAAGCGACTGATTTCAGTAGTAAGTGCAACAGTAGTATCCCCACAAGACGGAATCTACACGGAAATAGTTTTCCTGTAGCTTTGCGATGCGACAAAACTTCAATCTCTTGGATGAAAAAAAATAGCCAAAAAACCACGACTACTGGCCATGTAATTGTGTTACTCAGGAGGAAAACCATACCTGAAATCTTTTCTTAAAAAAATTCTTTGTCGATTTTATTGATGTATATTTGTGTGCAGATTTCGAATACACCATTTTCTTCCTGGTGGAATATGTAGTTTTCAAATTTCGCATGCCTTTTTCGGGAAGCATACTTTGCCTAAACCAAGTAAATAGGCACATTAGAATGACCTGAAATGAGAGAAGAGTGTAAAAAAAAAAAGGTCAGACGTTCTAAGCCCATTTGAACAAAAGTTGTATGTTGAATAATTGTGACTGAAATCCCACCTGGACGTAGACTCACTGGCAAATATTCAGCAAAGCTTTTGTTCAAATGGGTTTATAACATCCATTTTCGTTTTCTTGCATTCTGTACTTATTCCAGGTCATTCTGATGAGCTTAATTACTAACTCAGTTTAGGCAAACTATGGCTCCCAAAAAGCACATTAGAAGTTCTCTCTCTCTCACACATGCACACACGCGCGCGCGCGCGTGTGTGCATGTGTGAGAGAGAGAGAACGTGCGTGTGTGTGTGTGTGTGTGTGTGTGTGTGTGTGCGCGCACACACACACACACGCACGCACGCACGCACGCGCGCGCGCAAAGGCCACATGGAAGCACCCTATGAAGGTGGGTCCACAGCAGTGAGTGTAAGAGTGCACTGCCAACTCAATATTCTAAAAAAAAAAAGAGAAAGTGAGAAAAAAAACTTCACTGCCACTAAACCCCATTTCAAGGTTGAATTAACATAATACTCTTGCACCGACTAAGTATTTTTTCAAGATTCAAAGCCTTCTTATACTAAGTTATATGCTCTAAGTAGTATGGTGAATTTTAAGAATAATGTATTTTATCAGTTATCATTTGCATCATATTGATATTTAAACCCTGCTACTATTAGTAGCAGCTTCCGCCTCACTTTGAACCAAAAAGAATGGCATTCACTCATTCCTCGTTCCAATTTTAAAGAATATTGAGCACGTTTTACTTGAGTCATGCCTAGAGGCTGGATTTTTAGGCATTAAGGTGCTTTTTAGGCCCCAAAAGTAGTTTAAGGTCTTTAATTTAGTACATATAGACAATAAATTTTTACCTACAGTAGACTTCAATGGAACACATAAATTGAATACATATGTGCACAAAGCTAGCACTGGTTTTGCGTACCCTGCAACTGCCCCGGTGGATGACATGTGGCGTAACACTCAGGTGGTGCAAGCCAAGGTTTACACAACAACACTGAAATGTGCACACACCTGTCGCCTTTGGGGCCAGCGGCCGTCGTCCCGTGCAATGGGTGGGCTCACCTTGGAGGCTGGCAACTGCACGAGTGGAGGAGGGGGTGCTGGGGCACTGCTCATGGTCGAAGCAGGGAGTTCAGAGGGGGTAGCAGTAGCAGCGGGGCTTACAACCTCCAGCGATGGAGGCACAGCAGCAGACGCCAGTGCAGCTGCCGCCTGCATTTGCACACAGGTTGTCAGAAGGGCACTGGGGGGTCTCAAGGGCCAGCTGCCTACAGAAAGACGGAGGACACGCTTCCACATAGTACTGAAGCAGAAAAGCCTTGCAGATAGGACAAGACCTTGACTGACATTAAGAATTACAATAGAAGCTCACTAATTTGACCTTCTTTAATTGAAGAAATCTGATGTGTCCTCTGGTCGTGGCCGCAAATGCATTGTTTAATGGCATCAAGTTCTGCTTCTTTCGGTCATCCGTGGCTGCAACCTGGTAAATTCGAAAGATCCTCAAAACACACCGAGTGCTAATTGCCACAAATGTGCGGCACGAAATAGAGAAAGCGACGTTCACAGACCACCAAAAACAGGCGGCGATGTCTGCATCACTATTTTCATCAGTTAGTACCCACGGTTTGGTCCACATGCAGACGAGGCACTCGGCACCTTCCATTTAACTGGCACGTGATGCGTCCCGTAACTTCAACATGGCCATGGAAGCTATTGCAGATGAGGAGCATGTCAGCATGCATCAGTTAGCACGCCGAAATTAAGATCGATCGAGTATGTTTGCCGACGGCACTACAGCCATCGCACAAAGTGAGCAGCCAACCCCACGGACGAGAAATCCCCTGCTAAGGCAGTCAAACAGCAGATAGAAGCGAGCGCAGGTGGACAGGGGGATCTGCCAACTGATCACTGGTATTTCGCGAGATTGGAGGTGAAACAAACAATGCAGGGCTAGAGATTTCGGATAAGAGCAATATTGTGAGGAGTATCAATTATGCTCTTTTTGAAACTTTCCATGCCAGCTATTCCGAGCTTTGGCACTCGAAGCGATTTGGCACACTGTCGCCCAGATTCTCCGCAATCTGGGCATTGCTCCTAGAAGCAGTGGCTTCCTCTGCTGTCTTGTGGACATCATTTGTGGCCTTCCCACGCACACCATTGCTTCAGAAGGACTTTTAAGCTTTCTTTTTTTTACAGGAATTCTTTCAAATATCTCTGTATACAATCAGCACTAAAACAAAACTGTTCCGCAAGCCTCCATTCATGACGCGCTAGTTGTTCTTTAGCCAAGACATGTGCTTATCACACACAATTTCAGTGACACCATACCTAAACAAGCTTTCGAAATGACCAACCTGCTGTGCATAGGTGCTAGAACGCAGAGTGGGTGAGGTTGCACTCAGAGCAGTGGGTGTGTTCGTGCTGCCAGGTACACTCTCAGCCGGGGAGTGGGAGTTGGTGGCCGGACTCTCCGCATTCTGCACAGCTGGGCTGGGCCCTACACAGAAGACTTCTTTACCATCTACGTACAAACACCACCCATCAATGCAAGCACAGGCACATTTTACCCCATAGGCCTTCCTGCACACATACAAGGCACAAGAAGAGCAGCAAGAACACAGTAGAGCCTCAATACACTTTGTAGCCTTTCATCCTTACCTCTGCTCATAATAATCAGGGACCTAAAGACCCGAATTTCCACCATCTTCAAAATCTGATACAATTAGGCTTCTTTTACTTCTCAGTATTTTTATCTGAGGCTCAACGTCGTCGCAAGCACAATTTGATTATGAGAGACACTATAGTGGAGGGCTACGTAAATTTCGACCACCTGAGGTTCTTTAACGTGCACATAAATCTAAGGACACAGTCTACATACAGTTTCTCCTCCATCATAAATGCAGCGGCTACAGCCGGGATTCACACTCGCAGCCTCCGGGTTAGCAGTGAAGCACCATAACCACTAGACAAGTGCGTCAGGCATTCTTTTACCTCTTGACACATTAATAATCTGACACCATTTTGGAATATATCCTCACAGTATGGTTTTATTATAAAAATTTCTTGGCTGCTGTGTGAACAAGTCACAAGTGCACAATCAACAACAAAGTAAGTAGCCTTTCCACAGTACCCACCTGCCCATGTCATGAAAAAAAAAAACACCACCTCCCGCTAAAGGAAACCATGTGTAGATGGAAGCAGCGGGCAGCGCTAATGCTGACATTGGCGGCAACGTTGACTCTGGCGCTCATCGCGGTGTTGCGCAGGAGAGGGACCCAGCGAGGTGCAAAGCATGCAGTGATCGAACAGTGTTTCTTACTGTAACATGCCGATCACTCCGAATGGGAAATGAGAGAAGGAAGACTCCGATTGAACACAGAGACTCGCAGTCCACTTTGTGGGAATTGAGGCTAGCCCGCTGCCTTTGCGCGGGCTTTGCCGCCTTTTCTGCCGTTCTGATGTTCCGACATGTCTGCCCTCCTTTGCTGTCTGTCCGCCGTGGTGGGAGAGCGGAGTGACGTTTAACTCCCTCACCCGGAAGCGGATGTTGACTGTGGCGCCGCGCGCAGGGACTCCCGAGAGGTTTTCGCGAGCTGCGCCGGGAGCGGTCAGATACTCTCCGGGACAGCAAACGGTGAGCCACGCAATCTTTTCCGTCCGTCGACTCCCGTCGCTCGGGGCTCGCCGGACTTCGCTGACGGCGCCTCGCGCCCGAGGCGAACGCTCACCTTTTGTTGCCCCACTGCGTACGCTCGGCCGAAGGATGGTACAGTGTCCTAGTGCGTGGCCTAGCTATGTCGACCCGTCTCCCTCCGAAGCCAACGCGAGCGCCTTTGCCCTCGCTCGAGCAACTGGGCCTTGGTCCCGGTGTCTCTGTGGATCACCTTTACCGCGGAGACGTGCTCGTGGCACCCTGTGTAGTACTTTTGTGCCCGTGGCGTGGATAAGCCTATGTGCTTTTCCGCCGCGCCTTTTGCAACGGGCTGTACTGCGTTTGGTGTTGCCACAATAAAGTCTTGCAACTTTGAGCAGTATCGTGTTCTGGCCACAGCGACGGTTAACGCGTGCCCTGCGGCTCGCTAAGACCGGACCCACGCTGGTGGCCGTACTCCTTCGGGATACGTGTACACCACACTGGCGCCAAACGCGGTATCAAAAGCTCTAGCTTTTGACTGCTCTTAGCGAGTCAGTTCGCCTGCGCGATTCGGGCTCGTCGCAACATGTCTGCTTCTTGGCATGCCGCATTGCACAAAGAGGCCACCGCCTCTATCTACGGGCACCCTTCGGCACTCGCCTGTGTCGTCACCCCTTTTTGTGGTGAATACACTCCTACGTGAGACGGGTCGGCCGTAGCTAGGCCACGCACTAGGACACCGTACCACCCTTCGGCCGAGCGTACGCAGTGGGGCAACAAAAAGTGAGCGTTCGCTTCGGGCGCGAGGCGCCGTCAGCGAAGTCCGACGAACGCTCACCTTTTGTTGCCCCGCTGCGTACGCTCGGCCGAAGGATGGTACGGTGTCCTAGTGCGTGGCCTAGCTACGCCGACCCCTCTCCCTTCGAAGCCAACGCGAGCGCCTTTGCCCTCGCTCGAGCCTTGGTCCCGATGTCTCCGTGGATCACCTTTACCGCGGAGACGTGCTCGTGGCACCCTGTGTAGTACTTTTTGCCCGTGGCGTGGATAAGCCTATTTGCTTTCCCGCCGCGCCTTCTGCAACGGGTTGTACTGCGTTTGGTGTTGCCACAATAAAGTGTTGCGACTTTGAGCAGTATCATGTTCTCGCCACGGCGACGGTTACCGCGTGCCCTGCGGCTCGCTAAGACCGGACCCACGCTGGTGGGTCCGGTCTTAGCGTGATACTTCTCGGGATACGTGTACACCACAACTTTTATTTAACGAGCACGCTGCAAATTTTTTTTGTCCAATGCAAAGGAGAAATCTCCCACTGGCACTACCTTGGAGGCCAAAATCTGGTATCTATATATATGGGGTGGCTAGTGAACAGTTGCGCAGTGTGAGCAGTCGGCATGCCTGCTTTGGCATTGCAAAGCGAGAGGGCGGAGCATAGGAGAGAAGAGAGGGGGGCATGCCTAGAGAGGGGCAGCAAGAGTAGGCTAGGCAACAGGGGGAAGAGAGGGGATGCACATGCACAGAAGGAGGGGGGGGGGGGTGGACACCGCAGGAGTAAGGGACACAGCCCCCCAAATCAGATGTTTCACAGCGATGGAAGTGACCTTTTTACTTTTTCAAGCAGATTCTGGAGCAGAAAACAATGATACTTTGTGTTTCCAGAGCAAAAAAAAATGCACATTTTGGGCAGCTATTGGTGTTTTCGAAGAAGGTGGCGAAATATTCCGAATGGCCTCCTGGAGTGTAAAGCATCATTTAAAGATGTCATAAAGATTACTTAATAAACATAGTGCATGTACAATAATCATAGCAAATTGCAAGAAACAAATGATTAGGCAGACAATACTAAGCAGATAAAAGCAAGCAAGATAACACCAAGCCTCATAGATTCAAATTGCCCGTACTTGTGGCATGAATGACATGAAAGTGATAAAGCTGAGCACCACATTACAAAACTAGGCACAATCACGGACTAGCACCAAAGCAGCCGTTCGAAATTCGATTGATTTGTGGGGTTTAACGTCCCAAAACCACCATATGATTATGAGAGACGCCGTAGTGGAGGGCTCTGGAAATTTCGACCACCTGGGGTTCTTTAACGTGCACCCAAATCTGAGTACACGGGCCTACAACATTTCCGCCTCCATCGGACCGTTCGAAATTCGTACAAAGCAAAGGAATATGCGATTCTCACATGTCCAAAACATAGCCAGCATCAAAAGGTAAACAAAAGCTACTTAGATAACATGACGGTTGTTGTGGCATAAATGAGGTCAATGCTGATATAATGGTAAATGTTATCAGTCATGCATTAAAGTTGTTACAGCAGACGTTTAGTAACAACTATGATGAAATATCATCACATACATTTTACCAAATGTGCTTCTCAGGTCCAAATATACAGCTAAATCAGACCTATAGTGCCAGAACTCTTAGCATAGCCCATACGCTAGTGTGCAGCTAGTGCGCATTATGAAAGAATAGAGCACGTTCTTTGTCACAGCCATCGTTACAGCGTGCAAAGACGGTAGCTGGCTGCTGCGTTAACTCGCCTTGACAGACCCTTGTCCAAACAGTCTGTGCTTGATGGATTTGTGGGGTTTAACGTCCCGAAACCACTATTTGATTATGAGAGACGCCGTAGTGGAGGGCTCCGGAAATTTTGACCACCTGGGGTTCTTTAACGTGCACCCGAACAGTCTGTGCTTAAAAGGCAACATAGTCTGTCTTCGCACAGAAAAGCAATGAAGGCCTTATTGAACTTTTTTGCGTGGTAGTGGCCTAATGAATAGGCTATAGCACCTCAGCGCACTTTTTTTTTTTTCGTGCGCCTATTTCGCTCTTCGCTTTCTTTCCCATCCTTATTACCCCTCTCCCTTCCCTTAGTGCAGGGTAGCAAACTAGATGCTCCAATTTCTGGTTGATCTCCCTGCCTTTCCCTCATTTTATTCTCTCTCTCTCTAGAGCACATTCAGGAATTAAGGGGAGACGCGGGTCGAAAAGTCGCGGTTTTCCGGAAAATTTTCGCTTTTTTTTTTTCCGGCTGTACTGGCATCCTTGGACTATAATCTATTACTTCTGAAAATATCAAGCTGAAATTCGCACGAGAAATTATCAAAAAATGCTTCCAAGTGGGCAGCGGTGACGTGAGAAATGCGCGAAAGTCGCAAAAAACGGCGAAGTTCGCGTCGTCCTGTCGCGAAAAACGACGCGTTGGCCGCCATTTGCAATCGTGCACGCATGCTGCGAAGGCCGTATCCTTCATAATCCACTAGTAGCCAGTCTCGTGCCTTCACGCAGAATAAACAAAAAAAACAACGCGTACGTCACGCGTTTTGAATATCACGGCACACAGCGCGAGGCCGCCATTGGACGGCGGTGTGCTCCACGCTCCTCCCCCTCCTATCTCTCCGGCAAAAGAGCGAAGCCTCGGATGTCGCGATCGAGTTTTTCTGCGTTTCTCTGCATTTTTGCGTCATGGCAAGCCCGAAGAAGTGCAGTTCAGATAATCGAAAGTTCAGAACTCGCCACAAGTATCGAGGGAAACGGCGTCGGACGCTCCGACTTCGGATAGGCCTAACACCGTCACCAAACCCTGCGACAGTGGTTGTGAAATAGCCGCTGCCGTGGAATTCGTCAGTGCATCCCAAAGGAAGATTGGATTCTTCGAGAGTGAACGTAGACCGGTAGATGCTGCTACTGCGAACATGCTGCTTTGCGAAATTCGATGCGCTGACGGCACTTGTGGCGGGTGCGCAATGCCCAACCTGCCGCGAACGGAAGCTCGGCGTGCGAGAGGCAGCTGGAAAGCGCAAAGGACTTTCGGCATTCCTCGAACTGTGCTGTCAAAATTCTGATTGCCCTGAATC